TAACCTGTCTGGCTATAGTTAATGTACTGTTTTTATCTCTAACCAGAACTAGGCTGACAGCTGGGCATGGTGGTACAAGTCTATAATCCCAGCATTCTGGAAGACTGAGGTAGGAAGATAGCAAGTTCAAGCCTAGCCTGGATAACTTAGACACTATCTCCAAATAAAAAATGAGTGGGGATGCAGCTCAGTACAAAGGCTCTGGGTTCAATCCCCAGTACCTTAAAAAAAAAAAAAAGGTGGAGGAACATGCTAAGCTGGGGTATGAGATTCTCATTTGGAGCCAGGTACAAAGTGAGCAGGCAGAGGAGGCTTGTCTGCTACCAAGCACAGGACACAAAGGACAAAGAAATCCTAAGTCCCTACATAGAAAAACTATAAATAATGACTTCAATGCTGACACGCTGCATCTTTTCTTGAGACACAGAGACATTTCACTGGCCTGGAAGCTCTGTATCATCACTATAAATGCCCTTTCACTTGAGCTAGTGGGGATTTCTAAATCCCCACTTCAGCTTAATCCAGAGCAGAAGAATTAGAAATAAAAAGCAGAGCTGAAGGCCGGGTGTGGTGGTATACACCTGTAATCCCAGTACTCAGGAGGCTGAGGCAGTAGGATTGCTGTGAGTTTGAGGCCAAAGTGAGTTCAAGGCCAGCCTAAACTACATAGTGAGACCCTGTCTCAAAAAGACAAAAAAAAAGCAGAGCTGAGGCCAAGAGCCCCTTGGGCAAAATGTGCTGAGTTTTGAGTTCATGGCTTTAAGTACTTAGAATCTGCCAGGTAAAGAAAAGCCTCCAAAGGTTATACGTTACATGAATACATTACAGGCAAACTGTTTCATCTCATTCATTGCTTACCCAACCCACAGGCCTTTCTAGAGCATAAGGAAGAGAGAAGATTAGAAAACATGAACTTGTGTCCCTTTCAGCAAGAGAACTGGTTCAGCAATAGACACCTGACAAATCCAATCACGTTAAAACAACAGGTGAAAAAACTACCTACAGGTACACTCTTAACTGACAGGTAAGCTGGTCATTATGTAAGAACAGTCAGCAACAGTCACATTGGGCAGTATTTGAAATGAAGCCTGTGTTTTCTTCCACTATATTTGGATGTCTGGAAACTGCAACAACTCTTTTACTTGAGTGTTTGTTCCTTATAGTCCAGCTTAAAAAAAAAAAAAAAGGAACAGATAGTATACAGTAAAAGTATAAAAATAACAGGGTGTGTTGAAGTACAAGGATCAGCCCACTTAACAACTCCACATAAGCTTGCACAAAAAATACCAGAGGCTGGGAATATAGCTTAATGGCAAAATTTGCCTGGCATACATGAGGTCCTGGGTCACAGCCCCAGCACTAACATAGCCAGGCTTATTTATAAATAGAGAAAAGTTGGTAACAACCTTGACATTCAAAGTTCTGTTAACTTAACCACGATGTATCCATACCAGCAATAGCATATAGTCATTGAAAGCTGTAGAAAAGCACAAATAAGCTCTTTCAACCCAAATTCATGCTTCCTGACTCAGAAACTGAATAGATTCAGATAGTAAGGAATACTTGTACTGACCTGGAAAGATATTCATGATATATTAAGTTACAAAACACTATATGCTGTATTTTCTGTAAAAGTAACACATTTATAGTTGTATATACATATAAAAGTGAGACTTTCTGCACTATCTCTGCTGTTGAAATTTTGTGACCCTCTTTTTCTGGGCAGTATTGAGAACTGGTCCCAGAGCCCTCACAGTGAACTACACCCCCAGCCCCATTCTTCCATCTTCTATTCTGAGATAGGGTATTGCTAAGTTGCCCACACTGGGTACTGTAGTTAAGCAAGCAAGCAGTCAGGAATGAAAAATGAAAGGGAGCCTGAGGCTTTCTACCTACTGCCCAGTAACAGCTACCCTCTAAAATGAACGTTTGATTCTAGCCAGTCTGGGCAGTAAAAGAATAGAAACCCAGTAGTCTGTGTTGTACTCTGTTTAGAGACAGAGTAAGAAATGGCATTAGGTTAGTGAGGCCAACATCCAGGCTGGCTCATGCACCACCTATTTTCAACCTTCTTTTTACTGTAAAAGCTCTAAAGCTAAAAGCCTTCTGGAAGCTAAGAGTGGCCACTGACATTCTGGCCAAAGAAGTGAAAGCCCCCAGGGAGGCTTTTCTTCCTGTTTTGCCTTCTCAGCTTTGGAGAACTCAGACATAGTATCTGGAGGTACAGCAGCTCTTCTGCAACTAAAACAATGACAGCAACATGGAAAGAAAGGAAAAGCCTAGATCTCTGCCGAGATTGGTGCTGTAGTCCTAACCTGCCCATCTCCAGAGTTCTTGTTACATCAGAAGAACAAAACCTTACTTGTTAGGTCACTGTACACAGTTTGTTAGGTTTCCAGTTCTACGCAGCTGTAGGCATTCCTGACAGCACAAAGCTCAGCGCAGTGGTTGTCCACTACCTTTCCTCCCCACACACGACAGATAGAACGCATACCCTTCATCACAGTTACTCTCTGCAGCTGTGATTCTCAGCAAGATGCCCCAGAAGGTAGAGTAAGGATGGAAGACAGTGGTCATGGATCCTGGTGACTATCAAACCATGTCTCAAAAGCACATGTCTATGAAAACACTCAATTTGGTCCCTCCAATAAGTAAGTAAGGATTTTTTTGTTGAAATGCTAAATAAGTAAAATACTTTCTACCCAAGATGCTTTCTTTTAAAGTCAATTCTTTCAAATTTTATTCCATCCAAGTTATTACTCAGAAATTACTTAAGTGACTATTAACTTCTCCCAGTAATCACTCTATGAAAAAACTAGGGTATCGATCCCACAGAAATAAGTCAAATCTGTACTTTAAAAGCACTTATATTTATATCATTTATTATTACATTTACCATTGTTGTTAAAGATCCTAACTCTGGGATTATGTTCTGTATCTCATTTAATGTTTGTGTTAATCCATCACTCACTCCCTTTCAATGCATGTTACTGTTGTTTTGATTCCCTGTGCTTGGGAAATATAGGTCATTTCAAGCATGAACATTTACACAATTACAAATTACCCCAGAAAGTTCTTTTTTTGTGGAACCAGGGCTTCACTATGCAGTTCAGGCTGGCCTTGAACTCACTTTGTAGCCCAGGCTGGCCTTGAACTCACTGCAATCCTTCCACCTCAGGCTCCCAAGCGCTGGGATTAAAGGAGTGCACCACCAGGCCCGGCTATCCACAGAAAGTACTGAACTCAAATTAAAAACCATCCTCATGGGCTAGGGATTTAGCTCAGTGGTACAGTACTTGCCTAGCATGCACAAGGCCCTGAGTTCAATCCCTAGCATCACACACACAAAAAAAACAAAACCATCCTCATATATGCTCTTTTAATTAAGCTATAAAATATGAACACTTCCAAGACAGAATCACTAGTTATTTTAGAAAGGAAAAGGAAATAAAAAGATATTTCTTGTATACCATCAGTTTAGCTTTTTCAAAACTAATGCAAAATCATCTAAAAAGGGATAAAATGTGAAGGAAGACACAAGGCACTAAAACAACCACATCTCTTCACATATCAATACAAATTACTGCGACTAAATACATAAGGTAAAGGATATTGCTCTCATGTCTATGATCTGTCTAATCTGAGGCAGGCATCTTCTAAGACATGCCAAAATCTAAATCATCTCACAATGCGCATGCACACATACACACACAAACACACACAATACACAAACCCCCCACACCCAAACCCAAACCAACCCAAGCCTACACTTGGCAGTCTAGAGTATATATTCATTCATCAAAATCTACAGAAAAAGCTGGGTGTGGTGGTACACACCTGTAATCCCAACAATAGGGAGGCTGAGGCAGGGGGATTGCTGTAAGTTCAGGCCAGCCTGGACTAGACACTGAGTTCAAGGCCAGCCTAAACTACATGTAGAGGCCTTTTCTCAAAAACCAAAAACCAAAACAAACAAGAAATCAAAACCCTACAGAAAAATCACAATCCTAAATTTAAAAATGCAAAGAGAAAACAACTTTAACTATGATGAAATACTTGGTTAAGAGAAAAGTTCCTTTCAAAAAACTGTGATAGGCTTTGCCTTTATATTTGTATGTAATGTTCACTTAGAAGTCTGTAAAAAGTAAGAGAAAACAACTATAATGACAATGAAATACAAGGTTAAAGGAAAGTTCCTTCCAAAATACTGTGATAGGCCCAGCATTTTTTGCATGCAGTGTTCACTGAAAAGTTTGCCAAAAATAATCACTCTTTCAAAGAGGTATTTTCATTGTTGGCCTGGCTGAGAAAGTTACTCAACTGTCAATAAAATCAAGACTTCCATCCAAAGCCCTAGAGCAGTGAATCCAAAACCCATTATTTAACACACAAGTGCCAACACTGCAATTAAACTGGAATACTGAGGTTTTAGTTTAGAAAAACAACTCACCTGTTAACACCTTTTGTCTTAAAAGAAAAACAAATGATTTGTGCTGTAGGTTCTCCCCCACTGCCCTCGAGGTGAGCCAAGTTTATTCTTCAAAGACCACAGTGAAGGGTTTGACCCTTATCTACAATGTGTTAACCTCTACCAAAATGTTAAGTGTACAGCCTAGCACCAGAGAACAACTCAAAACAGTGGGCTCCAGTTAAAGATTCCTATTCAAAGGATGGCATAAAGAACAACTATAGGTAGAGTTCACTTGAAAAAGATACACATTTAACTGCCATTGAATATCAATAGTCAGGCTTTCTTTTACAAAAAGATGCCATTCGTTTCTTTGGAAAAAATAACTTCGATTTTCAAATGAGAAGTGAAAGTATGGGCTCAACCATTTGGAAACAAAAAATGTCAAGAGTTTTCAAAATGGTAGAGATATGTGTAGGTATACTTGTTTCAAAATGGGGACAATAAAATTTAAATCTCTTCACCTCAGCTTGACAAATGCAATTTACTCACTAAAACTAAGCAAACCCAAGAAAAGGTAAAACAACGTTACCATACTTGGTGCCTCCAAGTTTAGGTACATTGAAGAACTTCTTATGTGAACTGTCATTTAATGGTTCAATAAGGTACTCAAAGGGATATCCTGAAAAACAAATTATATTTTCATTAAACACAGCAATAAAGCGTCTTATGCAAAGGGAAAATACCTGGAAACCAGCTTTGCTCAGAGGAACCTTCTGCCTGGTGGGAATGTTCTATATTGGCATTGTCCAGTGAGGCATTTATTGTCCACATGTGGCTCCTGGTCACTTGAAAAGTGGCTACAGGAATTTAATTTTTAACTTTAATTTTAAATAAAGTCGCATGTGGCTAATGTCCACCGTTCTGAACAGTGCTGTTCTAAACTATGACTCTTGCCAAGAAACTGGTCAAGATTATTCACTCCTAAAATGCGTTCAAGAAAGCCCAGAAGAGACAATAAGTACGATTTTAAACAATGGATTAGGTACCCTTTAGAAAGCCATGTCCTAAAAGCTGCATTAAATACACACAGGACAGTAGGAGAACACAATTATGTCAGAGGAAATGATTTTTAAAAACAATTCTTTTATGGGGCATTCAACACAAAACTTCTCAGGTAAGATCTTAACAAGCTTTAAGACTGAAGACAAAACGGAAAACAACTTCGCATATCCTCCCTAGGAGACAAGCTCTGGTTTTGCAACCTCGTAGGGAAGACAGCGTCAGAGACGTTTGCATGCCTCCCAACCCTTAAGGTTCTGGGGGAAGGTGCGGGTTGGAAAGAACCTTCCAGGTCTTTTGTGGATTCATTGTGATGGTGGTGGGTGGGAGCAGGACCCTCAATACTGTTAGGCCGTCAACTTCAGAGCGGCTGTTCTTTCCTCTCTGTAGAGGGAGGCAGAAGGGGGAGGGGACACTGCAGTAGACCGTGAGAAGCCGGACGAGCGCTGTTCGGCCTCTACGCCCCCATTCAGCCCCCGAGGGCGCACGGAAGAAGGGGCTCGGGACTGGACGCGGGGTAAGCATAGAGCTGTGGGAGGCTGAGGCAGACAGGCCTCGTCTTCCACGTCGCTCTCAGATCAGGGGTGGAGAGGGGAAGATCTCGGGCCCCTTCCAGGCCTGGGATCGCCGAGCCGGGCCCTGAGACTACCGAGCTGGGCGGCGGCTGGCGCCGAGGAGGGCGCAGGCCCCGCCAGCAGCCGGGTGCACGGCCGAACTAGCGTCCCCAGGGTGAGGGCCGGGAGGCTTGGCTTTCGCAGGCCCGGCCGCCGGTGACTCCGGGCAGGAGAATGAGGCGCTGGGGGCCGACAGCGCGCGTGCCCAGTGTCCAGTCCCACGTCGGCGGCGTCACTGACCTGCACCTGGGGCGTCCATCGCCGGAGACCATATTATCCCTGCGGGGAGGGGGCGGCGGGGAGGAGGAGAGGCCGGGCCGGGCTGAGGGCAGGAAGGCAGGCGGAATGGCGAGGGAGGAAGGCAGGAAGCGGTCACGCGCAAACACCGCGAGACCAGCGACGGGGCCCGGGCCTGCGGTCGCGGGATTTGCCGCCTGACTCCCGCGAGATCTGCAAGCTTGGAGACAAAGAAAGAGATGGGGCGGAGCTAACCAGTAGGCGACTTTTCTCGTGACCGCTGCTGTTATCGCGAGAGGGGACGAGGGTCCGGGAGAGGGCGGTGTCGAGTTCTATCGCTTAGTGTCAGCAGGGATATTTCGCCGTGTTTAGTTGGCCGTTTCGAGGTTGAGCCCTCTGTGGCTTTTGCGGGGTATCCTCGGGAGCAGGGGTTAAAATTGGAACTCTTGGACTGGGGATTTAGCTCAGCGGCACAGCGCCTGCCTGGCAAGCGCGAGGTCGTGAGTTCGATTCCGGGTACCGGATACCCTCCCCGCAAAAAAACCCCCAAAATTGGAACTTCTAAGGAAACAGCTTAAGGAGACTCGCTTCTCCTAAAGCTAAAACCTCATAATTGCCTGGGTTTCCCGGGCAGCCGGTACACAGGTTGGCGGCTCTATCCGGACGCGTTCAGCTTAGGGTTGAAGGAGTTGGAGTTCCACGCGTCCTTCAGCTTTAGCCTCTCCACCACGGGAGCGGCTAATCGTGTTGTCCTTCTACTCCTCCGACACAGCTTCCAGGTCCTGCTTTTCCACCTGCACCTTCTCCCCTCTGCCACCCCCACCCCCAAGAAATGCCTTAGATCAGGGTCGACTGACCTCATACTCTCATCCTTTGGTTGACCCATGCCCTTCTATCTCCTCCCGTGACTGTGCGTCCTAAACCCCCAGGTGTCTGTCCTAGTCCTATCGGAAACATGCGACGTCCCACAAGTACCCCAAATGCAACGGTTCCCTCAAAACGCCTATTTCTCTGGTATTGCTTGTATCGGGGAATGGCGTTGCCATGCACCAAACCGCCCAAACCAGAAAACGACACATTTTCTTTGAATCGTTTCTTTTCATCATTGACCAACCCTACCAACCCAATCCCCAGTTTCCCCTACTAGTCTTTCTAGAGATCCCTCTTGCTACCCTTCAGGTCTGGGTGACTTTTAATAGTCCACTCGAAAAGATTCTAGGGCCAGGGTGGTGGCACAGGCCTGTAGAATTGCAAGTTCAAAGCCAGCCTGGGCAACTAAGGGAGGACACCTGCCCTCCAGTAAACAAGAAAAAGGGCTGGGATGTAGCTCTAGTAGAGCACCCATGGGTTCAATCCCCAATATAAGGGGCGAGGGCCGGGGAGGGTGGACAAGGGCCCTTAGGATATGAGTACTCTTCCATGATCTCCATGATCATGACAACAAACAGACTCAGCAGGTTAACTGACTTACCCAATTCACCTACCAAGTGACTGACTCAGGATTTGTCTTTTGAGACAGGGTCTCACTAGGCAGTTCAGGCTGGCCTTGAACTTACTTCGTAGCCCAGGCTGGCCTCGGACTCAAAGCAATCCTCCTGTCTCAGCCTCCTCACACATGCTAGGCAAGCACTGTACCCGAGGTACACCCCAGCCCTTTCTATTTTGAGATAGGGTCTTGCTAATTTGCCTAGGCTGGCCTCGAACTTGCTATCCTCCTGCCTCAGCCTTCCAAGTAGTCTGCATTACAGGCATGCACCAACACACTCGCCTGGCATTGATAATTTTGAAGGATACTGGCGATTTTTTGTGCAAGATGTCCTTTAGGCTTGTGTGATTGTTCCTTCATGATTAAATTTAGATTATGCATTTTTGGCAGGAATGCTATGTAAGAGATTCATTCTTTCAGTGCATCATATTGAAAGGCACCTGATTTCATATAGCTCCCTTTTTGGTAATTAGGTCATCTTTTAGCCTATAACTAGAGCATGGTTTTAAATCCAGGTCCACGGGACTCTGGTGTCCTGTCTTACCCACCCACAACTCTGGGGTTAGACATGGTATCAGGTATTGTGAGGAGTGAGGCTGGAGTCTCCAATGGCCTTGGAAAATCTTAGTCTGACCGACAGCTCAGTAGCTAAGCCTTGAGGGCTGCCGTGTTCAGCCAAGATGTATTTTAGTTTTACACTGAGAAAACCTGTTTAGCTACCGATGTTTCCAAAACAAATATGGTATCTTTAAAACTCAAAATCGTTTCACGTCCCCTTCCATGTGCCAACCCCCCATGATGAATGCAATCATTCCATACTGCATAGACATACTAATAAAAATAAAAATCATGATAAATGAGAATGTCTGCCGTGCTGTGGCTCACTGAAGCCACTGCTAAGCCCGATCATGGGGAAGATAAGAGCGCCTGGCTGCCAGCCCTTAGCAGATGAAATCAAAGAGAACCTTTGTACATCTTAAGCAGGTAACAATCTTCTGCCCGTTTAGTCAAGAGGAATGAAGGAAAAGGTCTTCTTGCTTCACCAACATGAGTAGGCAACATATTAAAAGAGTTTAGAAACTGAAATACCTGTCTGTTGCCCGCAGATGGTCAAGAAAGTTGTTGGAGGCCTACAGTACTAAATAGGTCCTGCCGTTGGAACTGTGTTAAGTTATAAAATAAGTAGAAAACTCCCTATTCCTCTTTCAAAGGGAAAGGACAGAATTATTATCAGCAAAATGATATAGGAACATACATTTCAAACACTGTTATGGGTTAATTGTATCCCCCCAAATTCACCTGTTGAAGTCCTCACTCCCCAGGATCTGTGTACATGACCTGATTCAAAGTTAAGATGAGGTCAGTCCTCACCCAGAGACTGGTGCATTTGTAAGAAGAGAGAATGGGCACACAGACAGATGAGCAGGGGACTGTGCTTCAGCGCCTGGATTGAGGGCATTCCAGGACAGAGAGAGGAGGGTGCGGGAATTTGGAAGACACGGGGTGATTTGAGAGGCATGCTGCATTTGACTTACAAACTTCCTAGACACTCTGAGTTCTCAGACCAGGGAGCTCTATAGTTTGGTGCCATCTTTTCAGCCTGAGCCTTGCTACTGCCTCCAGAGTGAACTGCCCAGGGGAATGCTGACACAGCAAGAGCAGGGACAGGATCCGGATCCTGACCCAGACCCATATCCCTCCTGAGGGTGCAGGCCCCTGCTCTGGTCAGGCCCAAGCTAACCCCCTAGGTGGCGCCCACCTTCCGGCTCCTGATGGCTGCTCTCTGCTGTTCTGCAGGCCCACAGTGTGTGCCCAGAAAATGCCCCGCAGGAGCAGCTGTCAGGTGCGGGCTGCTGTTGGCACGGCGGCCTCTGGGGGGCAGCAGCACCAGGCACTGTCTCTTTGAGAGCTCAGCGTCCCTCCCTGACAGCAGGAGGTTGATGAAACAGGAGGAACAATACACAGCCTTTAGTGTGACAATAAAAACAGTGTTTGTCATTGTTTTATAACAAGCAAGTGGCATTCTCAGAGCAGCCATCCTATAGGTTAGGTGGATATTTATTAAAAATGAGAGTGTCCCCACTCAAAACATGGCAGTCTCTGGGGCTGGAGGTACACACCTGTAATCCTGGCACTCTGGGAGGCAGAAGCAAGAGGACCACAAGTTTGAGCCCAGCTTGGGAAACAGTAATTTAGTAATACCCTGTCTCAAAATAAAACATAAAAATGAATGGGGATGGAGCTCAGTTAGAGAGCCTAGGGCCAATCCCCAATACAAATATAAAAAAAGAGGGCAATGGCATGGCAGTGACTCTTCTTTCAAATGGCCTTCAGAGCCAGGGCTCGGCTCATGCTTGAGCTGGACCTTGTTCCTCCAGCCCTGGCTTTGGCAGCCACTCACCTAAACTCAAAGATTAAAATCTACTTTTCCATCTGGGTCCATCTCCTACAAATTTCCACTCTTTCCCTAATGATATTAGTCCTGAAGTCCGTCCCCGTGGTCTGCACCTGCAGTTCTAGCGCTGGGGAGGCTGAGGCTGGAGGATCCCATTGAGTCCAGGGATTTGAGACCAGCCTGGACAACATAGCAAGATCCCATCTTTTAAAAAAGTCAAATTGTGCCAGTCTCAGCCACTGCCATCTCTGTGCTGGGATTCTGTTGGAGTGGAAGCCCGCCCCATCTTCCCTGCTTATTGCTCCACTCTGGGCCCAGTCCCACTCAGTGTAAAGCCACGGCCCCCAGCCCTGCATATTCCAACCCTCCCTGTCCGTCCTTGTCCCCACCTGGCCTTGCTGTAGCTCTCCGCAGTTCTTTGACATATCCAATGCAGTCTGTTCTCTGTTCTCCAGAATGTGTACCTGCATCCCTCTGCCTGGAGCTCCCACCCAGGCTCCCACATGGCCTTACACCTTTGCTATGGGTCTCTGCCCGATCTGCCCTGGCGGGTGATGCTTCTTTGTGAGCATCCACACCTGTGGCCCTCCAGCTTCCTCACACATGTCATTCTGCCCCAGTCTTCTCCGTGGCATCTATTGGCATCTAACATGCTCTATGCCAAACTCCTTGTCATCTGTTTCTGCTGGAACATGGGCTCCATAGGCAAGGATGTGGTTGTTGCACTCACTGCTATACCCGCAGGGCCTGGGACTGGTGCAGAGTGGGCGTTCAGTGAACATTCATTGGATAAATGCACATATCAAGCTGCCTACTGCAAGCTCCAAGAGAGAGGCATGCAGGACATCAGAGGCAAGGACATCCCTAGGTTTCTGGCCCCACTGGCTTTGGTGATATCAGCCCAGAGAGCACCTCAATGTTCAGAGCAGAAAGAGTTCTCTGGGTGAGGGTTGCCTGTACCATGGGTAGTACCATGGTATAAATCGTTCAAACACAGCAAAAGCAGAACCTAGGCAGCTGAGACACCTCAGTTCTTGCAGCTGGGATCCCCACAGCCCTAAGGGAGACCTCTCCCTCCTGCGCCAGATGTCACAAGGCTTCGTGCTTCCTCCTGCCTCTGTGTGTTGCTCAAGTAGGAAGCTGAGTCTCACTGGGTGCTGAGGATGGTGGTGCTCACCTGTAGTCCCAGCGACTTGGGAAGCTAAAGTGGGAGGATCTCTTGAACCCGCAAGTTTGAGACCAGCCTGGGCAACACAGAGTTTGTCACAAAAAGAAAACAGAAACAAATCAAACAGATGA